AACATGGTGGTAGTCCGGCTTCTAGTAGGCACGTCGATGTGGTAAGCATCATGAACTGATTGTTTCTTTCGGCGAGTGAATTGTTCTGGGGATGTCCTGGAAGCGACTGGTCTAGTGGAATCCGAAGTTCCTTAAGTGCTACCTCAAATTGTGGCGCATCATCAGAGTAAGCGTTGGTGACCTTTCTCTTACCGATATAGTGCTTCATCGCCTGCACTACTTCGTCACTATTGCTTGCTTTCAATGGATAACCCCATATCATACCAGTAAACCGATCTCGAATCACCAATACATCCTTATCCGGCATGATCCCGTCTCTCGCCATCTTCTGGGTGTTCATGAGATCAAAGGTGATAAGGTCACCGAATGCCTTCAACTTTCGTTTGAAAGCTCCCTTGCTAGTCTTGTAGTGCTTCATCTTTGCTCTCACACATGACTTGCAGTATGGATTCTTATATCGGTGCGTCATCAGGTGCAATATGGATCTCGCTTCATTCTTCAGCACTCCGGGCTTTGACAGTCTAGCTTCTCCATCGACCACATCGACTTCCAATAATCCCTCTTCGTCTTCACCAATGTCACTCTCCTCTCGTTCAGAATCCGCATCACCTCCATGTTCGTCGTCTTCGGCTTCTTCAGGTTGACCATCGTGATCACTATCGAATCTCTGGTCTTCCCCGTCATGTTCCTCTTCAGGAGAATACCTATCATCACCGTGTTCCTCTGGTTCTCCTTCGACGCCTGCGACAGCTGGATTGATATCAGATTCACCATCTCGATCTCTCTGGTTATCTTTCTTCTTTCTCCTCCGTCTCCGTAGTTTCTTGGGCGGAGGATCCTCATGTTGTGCCTCGTGATCTGCTGTGGCCTCGTCTTCATGCCCCACACCTGACAGTATGCGATGAAGTATCGTAGCCAAGCCATCCGATCTTGGTAAGCATCTCCCGTCGTCATCATTCACCTTGATATAGGGTATGTTGTCATGCACCGATAACGGAATCTTGTTCGCGTTCTGGTCGATGAGGTATGGCAATTGATTTGCCGGCCATATGAATGAGTACCCTTGTTCCATGCACCGCTTCCCGATGGAAAAGACTGATGGTGTGCTCTCCAACACGTGTGCCTCGGACATCATGGGTAGCTCGTCCACATTGATGTCCACCATCTCTGATGTACTAGTTACACCATTCGCTGTCATGAAGCTCACGGATTTGGGTCCTTCCTTGGTGGTAAGGCCCATGGAATTGACTTTCTCTCTTGATATCAAGTCGTGTCCACATCCCGTGTCCATGATGAAGCGTATCGGTGGTCCATCATACCTCTCCACAGCCATGAACATCGTGTCTCCCGGTATCGTGCAGTTGACAGAATCCTTCTTTACTACCTCGCTGGTGCTGAAGTCAGACAGGTCGACGTTCACCTCGATCCCTTCATCTTGAGTGATTTGTATCCATGCCTTGGCAATGTGTTCAGCTGAGTATGACTCCATCATCTTACCTTTGGCATGTGCTACTCGTGTAGCTATATTGTTCACTCTGAGGGCTCTCAACGATGTAATGAGCTCGGTATCCACCTTCTGTACCTCACTCTTCTTCTTCCTGAGGGGACGGGTATTTAGTTCGTTACCAGGATCGCAGGGAAACGTGGTCACATTCGCCTGGTCATCGAATCTGACTTTAAAGCGAAGCGCCAACCCACCTCGTCGTATATTGGGAAGTGCTGGTTGCATGTCCTCGTCATCACTCTCGATGTCCCCGCAAAGCATGAAGGCTGGTGCAGCTGGTTTGGGCTTGGCTTTGCCTTTAGCCTCTTGCTTTGCCGCAGGAGCAGCTTGGTGTTGACGTCGACATTTGTCCCCGAACTTGCACGATCCTTTCTGCCAATTCCAACAGACCTGATCCTTCATTGGCTTAGGGCTAGTGCTCCTACCACCAGGACTCTTTGACCTGTCACCCTTGAGGTTGTCTGGTTTCTTAGCAGAACTTTTGTGCTTCTCCTGGTGACTAAACTTGCATTTGTCTCCTCTAGAACATCCGTTCTTCCCATGGAAGTGGAAAGCGCATCCTATCTTAGACGTGTCTGCCAACGGTCCCCTTTCGGGCTCTTCGTGGTTGACCTTCCACGATCCTGCTTCTTGTCCTTCTTTTGGTGATCCTTCGGATTATTCTGAGGAAGTACTGGAGCGGCGTCCTTCGGTGGATCGGCCTTGGTATTCTTGGGCTTCGCTTTAGGGTCCTTCTTCTCCGCTGGTGTAGCCTTCATGAGGTTCCCAAAAGCTTTTTCCCTTTCTTTCTTATTTGTGGTCTCGATTGATTTCCGTATCCACTTCGCCATAATCTCCCGTAACTTCTGATAGGTCTTATCCGGATCCTTATCCAACATGTTGTCGTACACAGACAAGTCTAACGCCATAACTTTGGAATCTTTAATCTTGTCCCAAAGCAGGTTGCGGAGTGCTGTGTCAGGAAGCATGTCATCCGCATCCATACCTGATATGATCTCATCCCACTGTCCAAGGAATCTGGATAGTTGATTATCTCCAGGGAACTTCAGATCGAATAAGTGCTTAGATGCATACATCACATCGACGTTGTCGGCACTCCGGAAGCTATCGACGATCAACGCTAACATTTCTCGTCCCTTAACCATTCCCGGGGTTGTGCCTCTCGCACGTCTCTGCATCATCTGCCTCACCTTCAGTTGTACGTCATGAGATCTCTCACCTGCTGCGTGGATAATCGTGTGTAGGGTGATACCTAGCTTAGCATCTATGCTAGCGAATCTTGCTTCGCCCGATGTCTCGAGCAGAAATGGGTCATATGGTGATTTGAAGGCATCCGAGAGCCACTGGATCCAATCTTCTTGTCTTTCGTCGCCCGATGCCGTCACGACTGCCGCTACAACTTGGGATTTCCAAACCTCCAAGTCGTGTATCTTGGGCCATGCTGGGATGTTGATCTTCTCGTGTTCCTTCCGAGATATCTTGGAGCCACCCGAGCTAGAGGATGAAGCGGCACCATGTTCGGTTACAGCTGCATTCTCAGCGTTCATGCGCTCCTCTTCATACCTCTTCCGGTACTTATTCCTCTCATCTCTGAGTCGTGCTGCATGTGCTTCGAATTCCATCATGTCCTGCTGGTTCTGCATCATACCTTCGTAGTACTCCATCGCCTCTTTCTCCTCGGACCTTAATGACTTTTCGGTGCGTTCAAGTTCCGCTTTAAGCCTGGTCATCATCTCATTCTCCACATTGGATTCTGATCCCATGTCTGGTGGTTTCATCTTCAGTGCGACTTTCAGCTGTGCTTCACTCGCGCTAGATTCGATCAATTCTTCCTGAAGGCATTTCAACATCCTCTCTTTACGTAGAATGTCTTCTTCCAACATGTTCATCTTGACCTCAGCCTTCTTGAGTTCGACGTTGGATGGTTGAGACGGTCGGTCGGATCCTTGAGTCCTCGCCTGCGTCAACTCCTCGTTCGCCCTCTTCAATTGTTCTCTGATGGTCATGATGAAATTGTCCTGATTATAAGATCGGTTGTTGAGCTCCTCATTCTCTTCTGATAACCATTTGATCTTGCTTGTATACATTGCTTCCTTCATCTTCATCTCCTCGGCATATTCGTGTTTGTTCCTGACGCTCTGCCTTTGTAGTCCAACTATCTCCTGCCTATACAGATCCCTAATGTTCTCAGCATCTGCGACTGCAGTCATGAGCTCCGTCACAGCTCGATCTCTTTCCGCCGATATAGCCTGGATCTCTTCCGTGCCGATGTTCACGACTTGACTAACCATCTCTGCGCTGTTGCGATCAGCGTACTCCCCTAACTGGGTGAGACGATCCCGCATTGCCACACGATCAGTGTCAATCTGGTATTGCAAATCGTGTGCTGCTGAGAGCAAACAGTCTCTGGATTCTGTAAGTTGGGAGATTCTTCGCTGATTTCCATATCCTTCTACATAACATTCTTCGAGGTGTGCCATCACTACTTCGTGGACTTCGGTCTCGTGTTGTATAATCTGGTTCTGTCTCTGCTCACATTCGACCATCCATGCGTTTTGGTGGTTCAACATATGCACTTCGGCAAGTAGTTGTGCACACTTCGCATTGAGGTCTCCATCGGCCCGTGCTAGTTGTAGGTTGTCAGTGCTTGCCCTTGCTCCATCTCCAGCTTCGCTGTCCGATGGCACTGGTACAGTTGACCCATCCTCCAATGCTAGCACTCTCACAGCTCCGGTGTCAGTTCTCCTCCTTGTCTCTCTAGGGCTACGGCCCGATCTCGGTGTCCCCCCCGGTGGTGTCGAGTGCGCTGACGGGGAACGACTTCGTGCTCTACCTGTCGCAACTTCTCTCACCACTGTCAGAGTCTCCGCTTCGATCGTACCTGGACTAGAGTTGTGGGATGCACTCACCCGATCTGCGGCCGCAGCGGCTGCTCCAAAGGATGCAGTGCTGGCGTCGGATTGGTCCATCTCCAGTGACTGAGGGTAACTGATCTATCCGATGCGTGTGCGTTTAGATGGTGTTGTGTAAGGCCGTAGCTCGTACCCAGCTCGAAGGAGTCTGGATACGGCTGATAACCTGCGAACGGATGAAAAGCGTGCCCTAGCCCCGTTCTAGCCCTTAGTTCAACATGAAGCTCGCGCGCTAAAGCTCCTTTTTACCTGGTTGGGCACTTGAGCCAAAATGGTATGGCAAGTACCTATATAGAAGCTATACTGAGACCTCATCTCTATTGACATAATTGATGTTGACAAGTAAAAATCAAGACATATCAAGAATCCAGCAACACCATTAATCTGCAGTGTCAAGTAGGAAAGTAGATCAGCGTTGGCTTTGGGTGAAGCAACAACCTAGAGCATTCACAATATGCAAGGACCAGGCAGGTGTATCAATGGCGCAAAAATGAATCGATCTCAGAGGTCGCCAATGAACATATCAACACTCCAACGAACTAATTATACACAAATGGTCGTCTAAGGTTTGCCGGCAAAAGCACGAAGACACCCGTGATGACATTGACGATAGCGAAGAACCTGAGCTTCATTGCGTTTCCTTGAGGCAAGTACTAATTCTTGACCAATTGATCGTTCATCTCTTGTCTCCCGCTACTCTCAGGTGGCCTTCTGAGCCATTCTCACTTGAGAAGAGGAGATCTCAAGTCAATGGACAGCTCAAAGCACCCTGCATCCCCAAAACTATCACACTATAACAATCATATGTTTCTGCTATATAACTTGAGAGATTATATAATGGTGTTTTCCTGTGTCCGCCCAGAACCTCCAAGCTATCCAACATCTTGCACTACTCTGGCAACATCACCACAGGTTCATGCCCGGGGAGCGTGATGATGACATAGACCACCAGGCATCCACCTGCGAGGTCTCGTAGGTTGAAGGGGAGGCACATGAGACTGGTCAGATGATAGGAGTTGAGTATGTCTTGCATACCAAGCTCGATTCCTGATGCGACATGTCATACAAAAGGAACACTGAATGTGTTGGACCTCCTGCCTAATGGGCTAATTCAGCTGCACGGGGACAAAGCCCTCTCTCTACACATAAGGCGGGACTGTTTAGGCATTCCATCACTTACTGGCTCTGTACAACAAAAAGGAAAAGCACCGAAACAACGGGTCAGTTCCCACCAGTTGTTGGTCTTGCATGTCTTCTGCAATCTCCAAATTGTCTGATCCTTTTGATCCTTCCACCTCATTTCAATATCTCTCTTATATAACCAGTTAGTTACCAGGTAGTGATGATTCTATTTTGCTGTGACCCTGAAATGAGAAGAGTACAAACTTTCATGAGACAAGTAGAACTTGACGAGATGATTGATAACAAAAATCTGAACCAAACAATCTCTGCCAGTTTCTTTTCTGATTCTTGCCATGTCAACGCTACACGCCCTGGCCAGTGCCCACCTGCGAAGACGGAGATCTCCCCCAACGGCTTCAGGGCCACATCCCAGTCGATGCCCCCGGTTGTGGCCATGAAGAGGGTCAACATGCTAGTGGAGATGCTATCCCAATAGTTCCAATAGATCCTCAGGTCAGGGACGGTGATAACTCGTGATGATTTCCAGTGGAACTTGATGTCTATGGGTGCTGTTGAAAATCTCTTCACGTTCTGCTCAGCAGGGAAACGCTCAATTTGGGCACAGAAACGTAGGCTCCCCAGTGAACCTTCCCAATTGCTGAACCTCTAACAGGTCAATTAGGGCCTATTGAACTGCTACTTTGACCAAGACTTCGTCCCTCAAACACCCAAGCGAGTTGGACAAACAACTGCTGCAAAACAATCCTAAACCCCAAAAGGAACCAGTCAAGAACCGGGAAAATCAGCCGTCGCCACATAGAGCTGCCGCGCCACAGGTTGCCTTGCTCATCAGTGTTGAGGCAACTCGGCACCTCAAGGCTAGAGCATGAAGGGATACGGTTGGTATATTATCTTGGAGGCCTAAGTCTAGTTCCGACATGTAAATGGTTAGCCGGCATGAAAGCTGTACGTGTTGCCGTTCCCTCACCTAAAACAAATATAGTAACATACATCTGCATGGAATTCTTCTGGATCTTAGGAAGGTGATGGGGGTAAGTCTGTCGTCTGTGTCTATCGTCCAACTGAGCTAGTGGTTGGTGGTTAGCATTGAAGACCTGACACCTACAAATGTCAGTATAATAGTAAAAGTTTCTATGAGGGGGCATCGCTTCGGGCGACTGAGTTGTGGTCCAACTTGATCCAACCGTTCAGTGGCCGCAACAAAGTAGTCATCCTCCATAGTTAGTAGAGTTGTCGTTGCTTGTACCAGGTATAGTCTAGCCAGAAATCGATACTGCTACCTCCAAAAGGGACTTGCGCTCGGCCAAGTCCGGCACCGAATTCGGATCCTCCGTCCGCATGATGGCTTGGAAGCGGCACTCATCCTCGGTGCCCCACCAAGTCGGAGAGTCGGAGTCTCTTGAGGGATCAACAAAAATGCAAGGCACCACGAGACACTGCAGTTGGAAGAAAACGACTGATGGATTGTTCCCTTGTTTTCTTTTGGATCACTGTGGGTTGGATTTTGGCATCCTCCACTGGGACCTGATCTATAGTCTGGGTAGATCACTCAGAAGATCCAGCCAGGGTTCACTGCAAAACTCACAACTCACACTTAACTTTTAGACTTAAATCCCACTCTCAGGGTCAAATATAACGATGTGGATCCATGTGAACAAATATAAAGAAAATTGGATCAACAGGTGTAATATACTAGCTGCCTTATTTAGAATCTCAGGCCTCAAAACTCTTGCATCACGAAGAAACAGGTCCTGCAAATCAATTGCTTGCAACTTGCAGGGGGAGAGGTACCCCCCAATCATGGTTTCCCACAAAATCTCCGGCAAAAGCGGGCAATTGGCCATTGCTCACCTGTGCTTCACGACATGAAACTTGGGATGATCCGGGTGTGTAGGCCCGAGCCAGTTCCATTCTATTGACTCATTCCATACCTGACGCATTGAAAGCCCGCTGCAAAACGCCAGGCGTCCGTGACCATCTGTGTGAAGAGGACACCTTGGTGGAGAGTGAAGATACAGGACGCGCAAAGGCCGAGACTGGTAGACACTAAATGACTCTTCTGTTGTCCAAGATTCAGGCTTCGCAAGAAGAAGTACATGTCGAAATCGGCTCTTCGTGTTCAAGCCAGAACAGGCATGCCCTAAAAGGTTTACATGCTCTAAGTGATGGCCCCAGTACAGGTGTGTAAATGTGGTTCTTGACGACAGTAAGCGCCAATATCCCAAACGAAAAGAACATCTTCTGTTCAACAGCACGTCTTCACAGAAGACCCTTGACCATCCCCATAGCCTTGTCCCAGTCTCTCCCATCTTCAGACCTCACCGCTGACTCATCGACCTATCGCCGTAAGTTGCATCAGGGCACCAAAGGAGTAGAAGAGCAGAAGCAAAAGCACTAAGGTCCACATCAAGGAGGCCATGCTGCCTGCCGAGGGCTAAGCTGAGGACCCCTGGCGAAGATGATCTTCTTAAGTTACTTAAGACTTCTATACAAAGATTGAGGGTATCATGCGTCATCGTGACAGGGTTCGACTTTGGAAGCAAGATCTGGGCCACCTGGGCTGGCCTGATCCAACCAGGCAAAAGTGATGAGCCCTAAGCTTAAAATGTCAAATACTCTCCTTACAGTGCAGAATTCTCAGAAAGGGGAGGAGACAAAACACTACTCTACTTGAATCATTGAACCAACACACTTCAAGAAATGCCCCCTTCTTCACGGTCCGCCTGTCCCTTCCCTCGTCTTCCAACGGAAACGTGCCAGGCCCCTCATGTGCCACCAAGCGGCTCATGATGGAGAGCACCTCATAAGTGCCCAAAAAGGCCCACGAAGGGAAGTGAGTTCCAAAGCATGTGAAACTTGGCATCTGTTTAAAGCACGAGACTGCCATAGCTTCATAACGCTAAATCACTGCAATCTCTGAAACTCAATGTTTCAACCTTTGCCTTCCGTTTCATCTCTTCCCCATTCCGACTGATCGGCTGTCCAGTCACCAAGGTCCTCAAAGCGCTCACGTAGCGCAGCAGCCGCATCACGCGGATGCCCCGCAGCGCACGCGCCAAGCGGATGGACCGTGCGAAGCGGAGCTGGCTGGGCGACAGCGCCTGGTTCCCTGAGTTCGCCGCTTCGGCGGCCGCCTGAGTGGTGCAGCTACGGTGTGAGGGTACCGTGAGTCACGGGCAGGTGGAAAGAAGACATGACCGCTGACGCGGTGAGGTGGATGTCCTTTTGCTGCGTGTTTTGTTTGGCAAAGCTATTTTGAAAAAACGCACACTAGTATTACATAGTATTACTGTATGAGCTGTTTCTTGTTCTCGTGGAATGATTCTCGGTGTCTATTCAATATGGGTGATTGTCTCCATGACATGCTGATTGTGTTGCCTTTGGAAAATTTTGGCAAACTGTGTTTCTGCATGTGCCTTGGCTGCCTTTGGTCTCTGAATGGATCAAACGTAATGTGGTTTCGCAGGTGTCCCTTCTGCCACCACGGCGCCCAAAGATCCAGCACCGTCTCCAGCAAGGACAAGACGATGATCAAAAGATCAAATAAGTTCCTCGGGCAAAGCGGCAAAGATGAACGAGACATCCTACAAAAAATGTATTGATATTGATATGACTTTATTTGTGTGTAAATACAAAACATACCAAAAATCAGAACACCTGGAAGATGAGAAGTGTCCTGGATGGAACTGCGCTTTGTCAAGCTAGAAATGGAGGCTATGCTTTTGCAGAGGTGGCCTGTGCTTGGATCGTCCAACTTCACAAGCGCGCTCTATTGTGAGGTTTCTGTGGCCCTGGTCCGAAAGGTTTCAGAGGGAAGCGCCAACAACAAAAACCTCCAGATTTCAAAAAAGACGTCTAAAGTAAAGACGGCCGCCCGCTGCAAGAAACACGTGCAAAACTACTAAATCAGTGAAGAGGAAACAGAAACAGGGCAACACCACAGTACTGCAAAAACATGCAAAAACAAACCAAGTCAACATATCTGTGGCATCACATCATCCCACTGCAATCCTCCACCAAGCCTCAGAAACCCTCCACCTCCACCCCCGCCCCCCGAGAATGATCCCAAGAGGCCACCATCGTTCTCGGCCACAAAAGAAGGACGAGAAGCCCTGAACGAGCGACGAAAAGAAAGCAATGGGCCGCAAAAAAGACATGAACTGAATTCTTGAATAACGAACAAATTACTAGTAGCTTCTTGTTACTAGTAGCCATGGATTCCAACCTACTTGCGATGGCCTCCACCTATATATAGTAGCTTCAAAAAGTGATGGAGCTCTAAATTCCCCCCATGTTCTCAGGATTGCTTGGCTGTCTCCTCAACCAGAAGCGGCGTTCTCGAACTCTGCCCAGTAGTAGTTACAACAGATGTTGCAATGCCCGAAGTGATCCGAAATGAATAACGTGTGCTCAACATCCCTATGTCGCAGGTGCGTTCTGTCTTGACCCACACGTTATCATCCGGTTATGGTGTCCTGCGTGGAGAAAGGAACAACCCTCGCGGGAGGAGTCCCTACTTGTTGAAAAGGAACACTCTATAAAATGCAATGTTCAGGCTTTGGCCTTTTTGTCATCCAGGGTACACTCACTCGACCCTGAATGGCATTTTGTAGGTGTAAATGTTCCCCATTTGATAGAGATCCAATCACCTTGGTATGAACCTTCCCCTTCTTTGGGTGTATTCCCCGTCCAGAGTATCGGTGTAATGCAGGGTGCACACCCAAAGCAGGAACCGAAGCAGCCTGGGCATAGAGGTTGACACTGAGCTCCAGGGTGAAGAGCCCGACGACAATGCCTCAAGCCACTGTTGAGGTTCGGTGGGTGGGAAGCCAAGTGGGCATGGCCTTGGCATTTTCAGCAGATTCTCAATGAAACTTTTGTAGCAAACTATCCAGGATGAACCCATTGAGAACTGCACTGGTAGTGCTGACTGTACTGAGCAATTATGGCACGGGACTTTCATCGAGCGCCCTAACTGCAAACCTTCCTATATACCATCAAAACCAGGAGGACACCCTAGCGACCAACCAGAAGACAAACTCCACAGGCTCCATCTACAGTGCGGTACGCACTAGCAGTTCAAACGCTGAACACCCCATCCCTTTCGTTGCAACATTCCTCCTCCTTCTCCTTAACAGACTCTCAATCTCATCACAGAAGGTGCAAGCCACCTTCCAAAAGCTCCAAAGCAACAAGACGCTAACACCGCCTCCCCCAGCAACATGTCACCAGGCGACCATTGCAGAGGCCGAACCAGGTGGGAATATCTGAGATACCCAGATGGGTAGATGCCTCCACCTCGATGCCAAGTACTACCAGGTTGAAGACCTTGGAGAGTGGTGCGAGCTTAAAGATACACCGAACTGCATAGAAAAAAGGGCTAGCGAAACAGGGAAAGGAACACTCCACCAAAAGCCAGCCTGGATGTCCATGTGGACGAGCAAAAGGGGTCGAGTCGAGAAGATTTGTCTTGAAAACCCTCGGCATGAACCAGCTGGCCCTGCATTTTGGGTCAACCGCCTGGGTGAACCCGTGAAACCAAATTAAAGAATCTTCAGCACACCCCCATTCACCATTCCTTGGGTTTGACGGTGACGGTATCACCTTCACCCAGCTGCCAAACAGCCCCTGTTTGGATGTTTTTTTGGATGAAGAGGCAACAGGTAGCTATTGCCTGTTGTTGAGTCCTTTTTGAGGTGTATTCACCAAGAACAAAGACGGGCCTTAAGCTTTGCCAAGGAACAATCACCGAGGTCACCGCGTAGACAAACATGTGCGAGCTCACCAATCGCTTTGCAAAGGCCTTGCAGGTGAACTGAGGCTCCAAGTTCCTTGGTGAGTTGAGATCTGCACGAAAGGCCCCGGTTGGAATAGGGACACCGGCAAGCCAAATGGATCACGCGCAGATTTGACATGGAGGACATGGAGGCCATTGCTATTAGGTTGGAGGCCATCGCTAGTAGGTTGGAGGCCATAGCTAGTAGGTTGGTGATTGTCTTTTGAACTGGTTCTACTGCGAGGCCTGCCATCTGAAAACCCTGAATCGCTTCATTGTTCCCGATCGTGGTAGCTGGCATGCCCGAGGAGAAATCCTATCCCTGTCTCAGGTAAGACCCAAGTCAGGTTGAAGAATTCGTGTGCAAAGAGGGTCCAAGTGTTTCTGGGTCCACACAAAATCTGAAGCTTGGAACCTTTATGGTTGCCGGACTCGGCTAAGCACCACAGCTTTCCATCATACTATACAATCAAAAAACTTAGGAAAAAAGGGGACAATAAACTCAACAAGCTTGCAAACGCGATGAAATCCAGCCCACGTCCCTTTTTCCACAGCTGGCGCGGGAAGCAGCATTCTACTTGCCGCTATGTTTATCTTCTCAACCAGCCATCTGTAATGCAGAAAACCTCAAAGGCTCAATTTAATCTTGCCACACCAAGCCGGCTTCGTCATAACAGGACTTGCCTCGCATGCAAACAAGATCGGCCAACGGGTCCCAACAGTTGTCAACAGCAAATTGTATAGCAAGAATCATTCATTCACAAGCAAATTGTATGGTCCAAGTCTTTCTGTCTTTCAATCAACTGTGCCAATTTGCATCTATCAGGTGTCAGTCCGCTTCTCCTACCAAGATTGGACTTGAGCCCTCAAACTCTTCACTGTTACAGTCTCTTCATAAACCTTCGCCCTGTTGGGACTGGATATCCACTGGGTCCACCGAGGGAACTACACTGCATGGTCGGAGGGAACTACACAGTTTATCTGTAAAGAAAACTTGAATCCAACAAAGGTAGTGCACCAATGCCCCCGATGCAGTGTCTCTATCTGCCAAATGAACTGAGGCCATTCATCCAAACTTGATGTGCCTCCAAGAAAACACACCTCCCCAAAACCCAACGTAGACCCTTGGAAGACCTTTCTACCAACCAGCAATTCCAGCCACCCCCTCCCTTCGGCTACTTGTCCGAGTGGCAGGTCTCATGGGAGATCCCAAACTTCTGCAGATCGCGTTCGAAGATCTCCTTCGCCTTGGCGTAGACCGGCCGATCCAGCTCGTCCACCCAGCCATTGAGGATCCTGGCGAACGCAAGGCCCCGACCCGCACAGGATCTGTCAAAACACTTCTGGGGCAGCTCAAAAAATATATATATATGTATATATATAGTTCAATGAGCAAAAAAATCCTTGTGGGGAAAGTAAAACATTAGCAGCTAGCAAGTGGCGAATGGCAGTGTGGTGACAGGTGTCAAAAGAGAAACATCAAGCCCTAAGCATCCCGGCACCATTTTTCAACAAACGAGGTGAACCAGAAACTGGCCACAAAGCTCTTTGAGACCAAGCCACGAAGTGTCATAAAGCGAGGCCTTCCCTCCATGAGAGGGTCGTGTGTCCTCGAAGTCGACGGAGAGGCAAGGGCCACCAAACTTGGCATGGAAGAGGCAAATTGACAGCTCCTTACATCGACACCGGAGACTCAAAGATTCGAGCAAATAATGGGGGTAGAGATTGTACGTAAATCCTTACCCCCGTGGGGCATCATCCGGGGTACATTTTGCAGCAAGACCGTGGACCACAAAACATATCCCACACCACAAGAGGAGAATCCACGAACCTTGACCTAACCCACCTTCGTTGGGTTTTCGCATGCAAATTAGCCTTCAAAACCTGGGACCATGGCTGACCACGGGTGTCATATTGTGACCAATCTCGATTCCTGTCCAAATTTCCCACTCTTCTTGTAGGCCCACAAAGGCAAAGCCCTGCTCCAGCCGTTCGATGGCTTTGGGCACATCCGCCAATGTCAGATTGATCAACGTCCCCACCAGCTGTCCCGTCTCGAAACTCGCATATCTCTGGATAAACTCCTCATAGGGTTCGCGCGAGCGCCGTGGCACGCAGTGTTATGCATCATTAGTTTGTGAGTGGAGATTAGATATACGGTTCTCAAACATCCACTCTCCGTGGCAGCTAGCTTCTTCTTCTTCAAAGGTTTCAAAGAAAGAATAGGGACCGCCTCCATAGACAATTCCTTGGTCATGGTCTCATTCGAGCACGCCGGGATAAAAGGGTCAGAGCGAAAGAGGTCTTTGTCGTCATGGTAGGCCGAGAGCAAGCGCTGCTCAGGTTGACGAAAGAGCCCCACAAAGTGGCCCTTGTATTCTTCATACTTGGAATCCACCAAAAACTGATGAGTAGCTGTGGGTGGCCAATCGCAATGGAGCAGCTTCTGGTCGCACAGGGTGGGGCAAAGCGCGCGGAAGTGCGTCTCAAAGCATTTACCCCAAACAGATTCATCGCCCATGCTAAGATTCACTGGAAGGTCTGGGCACATGCCCGGCAGGTGCGTCACCGTGTTGTAGAAGCTGGTGCCACACTTCGGGATATGAAGCCAAAACATCGGTGAGGCCTTCAACCTTGGCATCACACGTTCATTGTCTTGCCGAAAGAATCCAAAGCGTTTTGGAGGGAGGTACCTCCAGAAACCCTCCAGAAGCTGCTTGTGGACTCGGTCTACGAAGTCTCAGTATGGGATGCACACAACGGGGGTCCAAACTTCCATGTCCACACATGCACAGGAGGCATCCGAAGAAATCATCCGAATGCTCAGGTGGTGAGTCCTATCACAGTGCAAATGGTACCAGCCGAAAGGCGGCTACCTGTTGGGTGGCTGGGGGCTGGAGCAAATTCGAACCTCCTCGTGGACGTGGCTCATGTCCATCGGACGTGGTCTATTCTTCAAGGGCTTCATGTGTTGGAGTCATGATGGGTCAGGATGGGTCAGGATGGGTGGGTCTTCGAAAAGCGAGTCCCTTTCCCGTTTCGACCCGTAACGAGGACACCTCGGCCTCCCACCCAGGCACCGTCTGAGATGCGGGGTCTCCACCTCCAAACTCCTCTGCAGAAGCTCCGTGACTTGGCAGTCCGCCTCTTCTTGGCAACCCAGGTAAATGGGCAGGATGGCCTAAGCTTTGGCCAGCCAGAATCACTACCACCCATTTGGGGGGGACAAGACACACCCAAATAGAATATGTGTTCTGTGTATAGCTTGGCCCATACCTCATGGCAGCTACTATGGAACGAAGATGAGAAGGGTGAACCTTCCTTTCAATTGACTTGGGTGGAAAAACCTGGAGCAACAGAAAGCTGATTGATTTCGAACAGCAACGATGAAAAGGACTCCATGAGCCTTCATTCCCATGGCTTTTCACCAGAAGGTGCAGTACGGTCTCATGCGCGATTTCATGGATCCGAGATGGCTGCAGCACCAGCTCCGGAAGCGACTTCCTGCATGGCAGGGTGGTTAAAGCCTTCCAAGCCACCTCCAAAACCATGTTGAAAAAGAAATCGGAGAAGTGGTTCCACGATGTTCCATGGCTGCAAGCATGCAACTTCTTAAAGGTGCGAGGTTCCTTTCTCGTAAGACAGAGATGCTTGGTGAGGAACCACCTGGTGAAATTAAAGCTGAAACTCTGGGCAGATGGAGTTCCCCAACACCTAGACGACCAGTAGAGCTGCCCATCATCCAACTACATGGCTTAGAGCACCACAGAGGACTTCGTTTGCTAGCATGAAATTTGTGCCTTCACGTTGAATCAGTATGAAGTTATACCTGAGAGGGGTGAGGACGAAAGCCAGCCTCTGGCTTAGGGGCGGCTCTTAGGGTACTCGGGCAACGACGTGGCGCGCAAGAGGAAGTGATGGGGCACCATGAGAGGGGTATCAGAAATTGACAGTAGAAGATATAGGTCTGCTCCTGACCCCCTCATGATGCTGATGATGCACTACTGGCCGTCAATTACATCACCGGCATCACAACACCCCAAAAATCACTCATGTTCACTACCAAGTGGCCCGCCTCTTTTTGTCGCTCAAGCCCAGCCTATCGGCTGGCTTTCGTGATAAAAACATCAAGTAATTCCATGTAATTTCAAGCAATTGATCCATGACAAGAAGTGGTGATTGGTTGTCCTATCAAGATTCCTTGCACTAAGATGATTCCTCTGAAATGGAGACGTGGTGGCGTTGTAAGTTTCAACCCTCCTAAGACGTGCCATCGAACCCACTAGCGATGCTCTCACTTGTTAGACACAGTGACACACCCGTGCACGACGATACTGTTAGGCCGCCTAAAGGGATGGGACGCGAGAGAGAGAGAGAGAGTGTGTGTGTGTGTGTGTTTTTTCGAAGGTCCTATTCCCACAATGTCGTTCCAACTCTGAAAAGGAATTTTATAGATTCCACTGCCTCTTACACATCTTGTTCTCAAAGACTTTTCATCTCTCAAGGTCTCACCATGGCTCTGGCTCATCAGCGCAGTGTTCCTGATCTGCGTCAAGCGGTTGGCCGCTGTGTAGGCCTTCTGCTCTGAGCGCTCGAGGAAGCCACTCACGAAGGTGTCCTTATGGACATCCGAGTGGCTGGGTTGCCGGGTGTCCCAGTCTGTGGCTGGGCAGCTGGGCGGAGAGCTGGTGAAACTCAAATTTGGGGTGGCAAGGCAAATACACTTTCAAGAGTTTAGGAATTCCGTAGTTGTCATAGACTCTCTCCTATCCACTCTCAAGTTATTGGAAGTGTCGGGTAAAGTGCAAACACTGGCATTCATGTCTTTGCTTAGGTATCTGGCTGGATGTCAGAGTTGCAAGTAACTACAGTCAGCAACTGCATTTCTGCCAAATCTGCTTGAGCAAGACCACCCAGAACGAGCCCAAATGAATCCAAATGAGCATTTCCAACGGAGTCTTTGCAACCCGAGGCTCGGTACTATCCAGGCTCATCAGGCTTCCGGCTTTGGCCAGACTGCCTCGAGCACGTGAGGCCTGCAGCACGAATCGGGCACCAGAGGTGCACTGGTCCAGCACAGGTGTTGATGCACCCCCCCAAAAAATGCCATGTGTCAGCCTTTCCCTTCGAACATTCGGGGTGTTCCTTCAGCATTCTCGGGCAGGGGAATCGCACCCAGCAGGTCCGTCCCAGACCAACCGGTGTTCATTCTCATCCCGAAACACCTTTGGACCGAGTCTTGCTGAAACCACTATTAAATTAAAGCCCCAGCATTCGACTCGTAACAAAAGGCAGCATGGCTATAGTATGAGGCGGGTGGTAAGAAGAGATACTTTCTGCTTACTGTACTGGAGTTCGATCAAGCAATTTCCACGACATGTCAACAATGTACAAAGAGAGTGTCATGGGTTGTCCTTGTGGCAACAAAATCAGGTTATATATATATATATAGTAATAGGTGGTTCTATGTCCTTTCTCTCACTTCACCGTATCACACACAAGTCATGAAAACTAGATAAAATATACTACCAAAGCCCATCACAAATCAAGGCTGCACTGCACCACATCACAAATCCTTTGCAGGGCCAGGTATTGCTCTCACACACTGGCTCTTTCAACTGCTTGTGCTTTGTCACATCACAAACAGGAATAAGGAAACGAATTGGCTTCTCTAGTGTCCGTACCAAAGCTTAAAGGGACACGTCCCTTAAAAGCAATGGTGCCAGTAATGCTCCTTTAGCCCTTTGCTTTTCTAGCATTTTCTGCATGCCGATGGGCACAAATTGAAGAATGAACCGGGAGTTGGGTGGTTCATGCTTCAGCTTCAGCAATCACTGGTGCTAGTGGTGCCTCCTCTATCCTTTTGTTTTGTGAATACTTTTGGCATTTTCTTGGCTACGGTCAGTCATCAGTCTCCCTGAAAAATATTTTTGTGTTTGATCTCTCGCACGGGACAAGTTCTTACCAGCTGTCTTCAACTAGGTATTGATCTGGTTGATGATTCTTTGATTTTGATACCGTATACTGTATTCTGATGTTGATACCCCCTGCCTTCGATGATTCAAAGACCAACCCAAAGGTTTCCATGTGAAGAAGTCCTCGACTACTCTCTTCCTCTTTTCAACCTCTTCTGACAGAAACCGCCTCCATCACCTGGACCGTCGCTTCGTGATCCCCCAAGTCCGCTCCTGAGCGGTGGAGGCCGGTGCTGGAGTCCAGGACTCAAATTCAAATTCAAATGGTTGCATGCCCACTAAGACAAGAAGCTACTAGGGGCTCCTGGCCTTACTACTAGGAGCAAGGACGCTACTGGGGGCTCCTGGCTGTACTACTAGGAACAAGAAGCTACTAGGAGCATCCAGACCTGTGCCACCCAAGACTCGACCACCATTGGAGTCGAGGGTAAAAGATGTAAAAGGAGTCCGGCTGTTTAAATGGTAAAGGCTTCGCACTTGTTGATCAGTTCGGGACCTGGAATGATATGTCAATATATTGCTGATCTCCGTTGGGGTAGCGTCCTTTGGTGAACGCAAATGTGCCCTGAATGAATTGTGGTGGGATATATAGGTACTTGGCTATGCCCACTACCAGAACTGGAGTCTTCTTGCATAGCATGGAACATTCCGCTCAAGCATGCTTCCATGCTTGACACTCACCATGCTGCACATACATTTCCCCCGTCGGTGATTGCATCACATCGGGCCGCAGGGTCAGAAAGCTGCTCCAATCCGACATTGTAACCGCCATTTTCACTTCGGAGAAAATGAACAGAACGCTGTATCTGCAGATATCTATTGTTGATTCCCTTGATTGCCAGCCTTGCCAGCCACCTTTCGACCAACAATTCACACACCTGCTTTCAGAGGAAGCAGATCCCAGATCGGCATTGGGAAGTCTATCAACGGCCATGGCTCCGATCTCGTTGGCGTCTTCGTTCTGTGTCTCCGGTGACCTTCGCTTGGTGCGACGTAGAGAGAAATCCACCGATGATCCATGATCATCTTGCTCCTAGTAGCGATGCCAGGAGCCCCTAGTAGCTTCTTGTTCCTAGTAGTAAGGCCAGGAGCCCCTAGTAGCGTCCTTGCTCCTACAAGTAAGAATCAGGGGGTAGAAGTGCTCAAGCATTGGGGATCTCACATGTTTGCAGATTTTGTGTCAGGGTAGCAGCTGCAGAACAGGACAAGCCCTTAGTTTGCTTGACAATGGATTTGGCTGAGCTTTGGGCTGCCTGACAAAGCAAGCAAGTCATATCCATTCACCCTTGTCAGGCAAGCATTTCTGCTTCAATGTCTTTCTCTCACGCCGTCAGGTCGATCAAGTTCACAAGTCCGGCTTACGTGGAATTGGAGTCTGAAAAAGCCTTCCCGTGAGAAAATGGGCGCACACCCTCACCAGTCTCGGATTCTACAGGGAAGGGTTGTAATAATTTGAAGCTTGAATTGAAGTGCAACTTTTGTCTGGTCGATATTATTTGTGTTGCACAGTCCACACACGTGGAAACCTCCTTTGCAGCACCACCATCTACTGTGCACCTCACAGGTTGATTTCACGTTCAAGCCTTTCTAGGGTTCAGCGCTCAATCAGCAGTGCCGCTGGTTTACGCGTCAGAAGAACACGGGTGTATTCGGCCCAAGCCACTGGCTGGCGTCTACAAATGAAATGCGGGGCAGCTGGACACCTCAGAGAGGGCTGTTGAGCCCTGGATGAAGAGATGGTTTGATCATATTTTGATCCTTTAGAGCTAAATACACTCAATTATACAGTAGACACAATAGCAGCATCGCACTTGTCTTTTTGCGGATGCTTAGGGAGATTGTCCTATCAATGCCAGGGTCGCTAAGGTCCAAGTCTCACTGTTTGATTTGATCGGAAGAATCAATGGAAATAACTTTGGTGGCCAAGTGGTATTGAACGGCAAGGCAGGCCACACGTCACACTTCCAAAGATAGAATGATCTCGAAAACTTTCAGATGTGAATCTGCCAAAACGGACTCGCCGTTCAACATGACTCACCTTTGCCCAACACAACCCAGTAAGTCCGATGACTTGACTTCGCTGCCGAGCGGCCCTTCTCCGAGCTGACGCTAGCCTGCGAGTAGGTGCCGTCGATCAGCTCGTGCTCCGGGATGGAGGCCGTCCAGCCTGCCGAAGCGCCGATTCGGCGCCCCACCAGTTGCCCCAGTGGAATGGTCGCGTCTGGTGGTTGGGACGGTTTGGATTCAAATGGACACAAAAAGCATTCTTCTTGGCTGTCTGATGGATCTGTTGGATTTGAAGAACTTAACGGACCTGATGGCTCCTTTGCACGATTCCTGCGCATGTAACGGATGTCGGATGCCCATCCCTGCACTATAAATGTTCAGGGTGGCTCGTGTGGATCAAGGGCATGTGCAGACCAATGATTCCCTACAGTCCGAC